CCTTGCAGTTTTGAATACCTTTATTATGCAAGTCATTCAAGAAGTCAATGATGCAGAAGGAAAAGCTGTGAGGGAAAAAGCCCTCATGCCCAGATCCAAGTCACTCACATATCCATCAGGCAATTGCCATGTGTCAAAATAATTATATTTCAAGAGCAAGATAGCTTACAGATCCCACTTATTTCCATTTGGGCTTTCCTGCTGCCATTTCAAAACTGCTACGGGTATCACAAGCATCAAGTCCTAAAGCATTTGAGTAACTTGTGGAAGATCTTTTCCAGCTTGAGAATTAGGGACATGGTAACGATATTGGGGATTTCCATTTGATTTCTGTATCCCAATACATCCAAAGATTTATCTTTAATGGGATGTCCAGGGGAAAAAATGACATCCATTGTGGATGAAAATCACCCCTTCTCTTTATTTCTGTGCGTCATAAAGGGAGGCAAAAATCACAAAGGGAAGAACAAGCTGAATCTGAACTATGTTGATGCCGAGTTTGGAAATGAGGAAGTTGATTTTGTTGTGGATAACGCTGAACCCAACTCTTGTGGCTTTCCTTTTCCTGTCAAAAATTTATCACTTGAGCTTACATTTTATTTAATTTCTAAAGGCTTTGCCAAGATGCTCTCTGCCTAACAAATTCATAAGCAGTGACATATACCTCAGCATGTTCAAAGTCCTCTTTATTCCAAAGGATAATTGTTTTTATTATTTTAAATTATGTAATAATGCCAAGACACTGAAGTAATGGATCCCCTAAAACATACACGTTATAATAATGATCTCCCTTTTATTATGTTTCTCTAGAATGCTTAAACTAATAATCTCTGGAAAGTTTCCCTGCACCAGATGCAGCAAGTGAACAATTTTATTGCTATTCTCCACACTACCAGCATCTAATCCATGAAGACAGGAAAGAAAGTCCAGAGAAGAAGCAAATCAGCATTGATCACCAAGGGACTAGTTTCCAACAGAGTGGATAAATCTCCTCTCTCTTTCTCTTCTAATGTTCTTCCTGGCCCAAGGCACCCTGATGAACCACTGGCCTCTATCCAACTCACAGTGAAAGGAAGTCAGATTCACAGTGAGATGATTCAAGGGAATAGTCTCATCAATTGCACCCAGAATGCTTAATTTTATTGCAAATACCAACACCAACTCCCACTGCCAAATCTATCTTGCTGAGATATACATGAGCTGAAGTTGAGTCTGATCATGTGTCAAGGACAACAGAAAATCTGTTTCAGCCAAAGCCATGAAATATCAGGAAGTATTGGCTGGGAGTAGAGTTAGGCCCATCTTCCCTCTTTCACTGCACTCACACCAAAAGCAGGTCCTTTATTTCAGTATTAGATTCTGTGGCAGACTTAATGTCTTCACCAAAATGGCAGAGAAATTGAGAAAAAGGAGCTGTACACATCAGTCTGCCTCCAAAACATGAGGAGGTGATGGCTACAAGTTGAGAACAACTCTGTTTTTCCAGCTCTGTCATTAGGGGCTGTGCTGGCATCAAATGCTGTGGAAGTAGACTCAGTGAGCACGTGCGCATGCTTGTGGATGCATGCTTTCCAGAATGATGCTGAAGCGGCGCTTCAGAACAGTGCACTACATCATCTCCTCAAAAGTATGCACCAGCATTCTGCATAGAAAGACAGCATTTTGATAGCTTTTATCACAGAGAGACCATTTCTCTGTTTTGTCTCTAGAATCTCTATCACATGTGTGATTTACAAACTAGAGCTTCCTGGAAATTACATGCCAGAAGCCTTTCACCTTTGCATGTGAAACCAAGAAAAAGCTATTAAGGACAGGACAAAGCATTTTTAAAGTACTAGAGCAGGAATGGAAGCTGCAGGAATTACTGCAGCTGTAATTCACTTAATTTCAATTAATTATGGCACTTTTTTTTTTTTTAACTTTATCTACCCTTTCCACTTTTTCTTGGATTCAGCTCAGAGTATGCAGAATTTTTTGGAGTCCAACTTTTTTTTTTTCCTGAGCAGCACACAGGAATCTATTTCTTGGTTTGAAAATAAAATATGGATGGATTTTCTGACCATTATGAGTATATTGGAAAGTAAAGAGCCCTCTGAACATTGTGGTATGACTAAAAAACTGATATTTTAGTAAAGCTCAAAGAGAGCGAGATGCCTATGAATAAAACAGCATCTGTAGTCATAGCAAGACTGAATTACAAGGTCATTGGTCTCCAGGCTATGAGGCCTTGCCAGAAGATTCCACTATTTCTAATTCTCCTACCACAAACACCACATCATATAATATGATCTAATGTAATGTTATACAATATATGATATAATATTTATATTACACTGCACATACATGGTAGAATACATAAAAACATGGGGAGAGAACTCTGAATAGGCCTACACCCTTTATAAGACATGCTGCCTTTTGAATCTTGCTCACTGAGAAAATGATATTTATGTTACGACACACTGAGATTTCCTAATTATGGAAGCACGGGAAAAACACATAAACAAGATACACAAGGGGGCAGAACCTTTTTAAATTGCTCTAGTGTGTGTCAGGGAATACGATATTAGCCTTTCAGTATCAAAACTGTGGGGGGTCTCGAGAAAATTCTATAAACTGCCTCCTGGATGTTAACAGCTGCAACCAAGCAAAGCTAGGCACACACAGAGGAACCTTCATAAGAGAAAGCTCACATACACTAGGCTCTCTAGCTAGTTATTCCCACTATGTCTTAAAGCACGCATATGTTTTCCTCCTTCAACAGACACAATTACATTGTTGGAAATACTTGTTTAGCTCAATTACTGATGGTAATTTTCTCTTCCTAGCCATTGTGGACCAGTAATTTTGTCTCTTAATTGACAGATTTTGCTCTTCCATGCTCAGAAGTAGCAAGGGCTAACTGGGGAAATGTGTTGAAGCATCCCCATTATGTTCACTCTGTTGTGACTGGTTCATGACATTACACTTCTGTTTTGAGCTGTGTTTGAGCTCCAGAGGGCTTGACACCCAATGATAGATGTTGCCCATCCCCGGACAGCAAGACAGCACTGTTTTTATTTGCAGCGAGCTTCCCTAAAACAATGGCTCATCCATTGTTCAGGGGGATTGCAGCTCGTGTACAAACAGGATGGCACGACAGAGAGAGGCCAAAGGGACAGCCTGCTCTCTATAAGTTCATCGGGGGTGGTAAACACAAGAGAGGGAGAAAAGCTATTTAAGCTACAGAACAATGTTGGCACAAGAACAAATGGGTCTGAATTGGCCATGAATAAATGTGAGCTGGAAATTAGAAGAATACTTCTAACCCTCAGCACAGTGAGGCTTGGGAACAGCCTTCCCATTGGGGGCAAGAAACCTAACTGGGTTCAAGATGGAACTTGATAAATTTATGAAAAGGATTGTATGTTGTGGTTGCCTAAGACAGCAGGGGACTGGACACAATGACGCAGGATGCAGTTTCCAAGCCTATGCTCTTCACAGCAAAAACAACAATTACTCCTTCATATGTATGTTTTTCAGGCCTTCTTTTCTAATCCAGGGCTGCACTTCTATTCATAACTGTATTGGAAGAATTTAGGTTCAAACACTGGCTCAACCTGGCAGCTCTCTTGCTGTGCTGTGACCATGCTGAACTACCTTCAGTGAATGAATCTCAGCCTTGATTTTGTGGGAAATTATATTATTTGTTGCAACTGGAAAATGACAGGTGCTTAATTTTTACAGTGCTCTTACCAATGCAGAGACTGCTGTGCAATTTGGCACAACATGCCATTTCTCATCAAGAAAAGCCTGAGACTAGAATAATAAGGAAGTTACAAATCAGGGTGAAGGTGCACTGGCAAAATTGTTTTGGGAAATTCAAAAAGCTTGTCGCACCCTGTATACCTGGAGGACTTGATAAAAATAGTCGATCATGCTCAGAAATTTGAAGTGTTGTATAGCAATGCTGAAGAATTCTGTATTAACTGAAACTTCATTTTTAGTTTATTATTTAAAAATATTGTTTGATAAACGGTACTTGACATTAAGATTTCATTAGGACACGTGAAACAATCATAATGTTTTTGCAGTAGGAAACGGTGGTGATATCATTCCAATATCTCTATTAATTTGTTTCAGGAAATATAGTTATCACATTGTTTCAGTGCTAACTCATGGGCTAGGGACAGAAGAGACACTTCCTTAATCCTATCAGACTTCCTCCAAATTACCACTATGGTCTATACAGTCAAAGTCACATTACCTGAATTGTCAGGAATTGTGTAAGGTGGCGTTCCAATAAACACTCAAGCTTCTAGGGGGAGATTCAATTCACAAAGAAGGAAGATGATCACTCCTTAAAGGAGCTTCCAGTGACACATTTGTTATTGTCAGAACAAGCTACTTAAAATTTCAGAAGGGTCCCTTCAGCCTCCTTAGGCACGAGCATTTCTGCACTCCCACAGCATTAAGCAGCTGTAACTTACTTCAAATCTATTTCATGTGGTCCAACTCTGGACAAGAATTAGAAACTATTTTCCACAATAGCAGAGGTCTCTCTCTTTCTGATGACTAACCCCAAGAGTAATGCAGAACAGCAAACCTATGTCACATATTGTACCTTATTAACTCCTTTTGAAGTATGAGATGCTTGCATATTATAGTTATCTGTCATCCTCCTATTGAACTGTGTTTGATGTAAATTTCTTGGCTGGTATGTGTGATCTCAGTTTTGGAAAGTCTATAATAGCTTGATGAAAAAGTTGTAAGGTACTTGGTCATACTTCTCTGTTTGCCAGTGGGGCCATTCATAAATTAAGCACAATGATATTTACCTCCTTTGTAAAGTACTTTGAGGTACAGTAAATGAGCAATTGTGATTAGTTGCTACTTTATATTATAAATACAACTGCTTGTTTCAGAGCCACATTAACTTGAATCTGGAATTCTATAAAACTTTATTAAATCAAGAAGGTGAGTAATCATTTTAGAAGCACTATCTTCTACATGTCTATACTTACTCTTTACACAGATGAATTCCAGATGCTTTTCCAAAAGATCTTCACTGTGCTTTATCTCACAGAACTTGTTATTCAAAATGCCAAGGAAAAAATGACTTTCAAGTACTAAAGGCAAAGCAAATAAAGACATTTGTTAGTTAGGGCAGTCTACAGGGGCATCTCCAAAGTAAATGTCTCAAAAAATAATGGACTATGCCAGAACCTCACATTGTTTTTATACAAAACAAAACAAAACAAAACAAAAAAAAAAAAACAAAAAACCAAAAAAAAAACAACAACAACAAAAAAAAAAACCAAAAAACCAGCACTGCTTATAGCAAGAGAAAAAGCATCATACTTTACAAGATAGTTAGCACATTAGAAAAAAATTCACCAGAGAATCATTCTATTAGGAATGCGTATTTTTTACTTGAGGAAAATAACAGCAAGGTAAGTTGCAAAATACAGATGTTGTAGTGTGATATCAGAAGTAGTTCTGTATCACCAATTTCTGTACAAGAGCACAAATACTCTCTTGTTGCGTTTGGAGACAATGATTATTAGTTCAGGACATTAACAAAACCTGATTGGCTCTGACTGAGTTGTGCAAGGTGGGTACTTGGATCTGTGAATTTTAAAGCAATGATTTTTCTATAAATGGTTCCTGTATTTACATTCAGTTGAGTTTCTGCTTGCAGGCTGTCTGCAGCTGTTGTATTCATAAGTGAATAAGACACATATAGGTCACAAAAGTGTTGGACGTTGTATGGTGAGAGTAACTCCATGGGTTTCAGTAAGACAATGCAATCACACTGGCGGGCACTAACACCTTTGTCAGCTTTTGTAAAAATGATGTATTTCTCAACAATTACAAAAAACATACCAATGCAGCATGATCATGGGATTCACCATAGCAGACTGGATCATCAAGTGCATGACAAACACTGGCAGATATAGAAGACTACCCTAACTATTTAGAAGAAGACAAGGTTTGATCTTACTCTTGTTGGAGTCAGTGGTGAAGTGTCATGTAATGAAGAATAATTTACTCTGTGATCTGTGTAATATGTCATATAAAATCATTCAGTTAGTGGGGTTTTTTTTGGAGGAGAGAGAGGTGTTATTTTATTATTTTATTCTAGCAATTGTGTTTTGGTTTTTATATTTTGATTTGAGGTCATCATCAGACTTCTACATTTGTGGCAGGAGGCTTAAATGCAGAACTTAAAAACAAGTAAAGGGACATATGTGAGGTACTTCCATGCTGGCTGTTGACTTCATATAAAATCTCTTTTGCATCTGACATCTAACACAGAATTTCTAGAAAGTTATTTTCTTGGCAGAAGAAAGAGATGAAATCAATGTCACATACAAAAGTACTTGAACAAGCTCTACCAGCATGGTGTATTTATGATACGTCAGCAGTCAGTAGCCATAGGCCATTACCTTTAAATCCTACAATATGCTATCTACAACTCACAGAAAGTACTAGACTGTCTAACAAGGAGAAATGATATTATGCAACATACTGATTATGATATTATACAACATATTGATTATTGAACCAAAGCTTTTTTATTAATTTTTCTTTACTCCTCATCATCCTGTATTTATTAGTAAGGACATTGCCTAGTGATGGATCTCCGCTGCAGATTTCCTGAGGTGATACTCTTGCTTGTTTTCAAAACAGCAAATGAATGGACAAGAGAACAAATGATTTCCCTGTACTTTAAATTATGCCATTCCCCCCCCCTCCCCCCCCAGCCTTAAAAAATAATTCACAGGAGCATCATTTCTATCTGCATTCCTGCTAAGAAGAAGCAGCACGCTCTATAATACAGCTTAACAGTTGTCACTTGGCTGATAATTTGCATTCTTAATGTTTCAACTTGCAATCATCATTGTTGAGCTGGCCCTTCACCATCTCAGGGCACTGATGTGATTTGAAGTATTTAACCTTCTGGATCAAGGGAGCTGAAGCTCTGAATTTAAAACAGGAAAATGGAGCTTTGCTAAGCAGAACATGGGTGCACACTCTGAAGTATTTAGTGCTAACTTCCTTCTATTAAAGAGGCATGCTGGGAATGGCTTTCTCAGCTGGAAGCATTGTTGTTTGTGCATAGCAAACATCCCTAGGGAGATAAGCTACGTATGACTTAGTTTCAGATTTGCAGTCAGATTTGCTTATTGTAGGTTTGGAAACTGCTCTCATCCTTAGTGCCACCAAACACTGGGGCCGTGCCGCTGACTGGAGCAGAGAGGTGCGAGGCAGGTCCTGCTGTGTGATTCCATAAACCTCACAGAATGCAGGCAAATAGTGTGCTCCTGCCCAAAGTGCAGCCCCTCTTAGGGCTGTGTTCTAGGCAAGTGTAATCTTTGTGACTCCTCTATTTAAGGTAAAATATGTTAGCCAAGATTAACTCATAGGGGATGCATTTACATACACCTAATTAAGTACCTTATTAAATACTATGTACATTGGCAGTAGATGAAATAGTGAGCATTTGTTTTTGTTTAGAAAAGTTGCCGATTGGAAAGATGTTTGAGCAGCATCTGCATGGAGAGCCACGACCTCTTTTAACCTTTGCAGAACGGTGTCAGCCTGCATTATGCTTTGTCACAGCGATAGTACGGCACAAGAGGAGACACCTTCCCCATCCCTGTCACACCTGTCCTGTCAGGCTTTGCTGCCCTATGCTGACATCTCCGAGGCATTTGGAATTCTTCCCCTTGGCAAGTACCAGGTCCTATGCCAGGAAACCAATGCAGGGAAGCTCATGCTCCAGATGTACATTCAAAAAACCCCATCGGTACTACAGAAGCATCAGAGCCCAGAGGCTGCCCTCATTGTCATGCAATTATCTGTGCTTTTCCTGTTTTGTTGAAGAGCTCAGGCACTGCATGCCAGGCAAGGGCAGCAGGCACAGGTCTGTCCCTCCTTGCTGGGGATGCTCCTTAGAGCCCCCTGAAAAATGCTGGAATAAATCTTTCACCATTGGTGAGATTTCCCCATGGTCTACAAACTCTGGAAGGTCACCCTGAGAAAACTGGAGTACTGCAAGACTCAGATGCTCCTGAGAGACACCCTCCCCTCGGATGAAGCTTTCTGCTCCCGAGCAGTGCTCTCACTCAGAGGTGATTTCTCTGGATGACCTTCTAGCTCCTGGCAAAGGAATAAGTGGTGAATGCCATTTTTTCAAGCTGGATGTTACTAATTATTCCCTCAGTGAAGTACTGCTACAGGTATCATCAATCTTTTCCATTTCTAAGTGACTGCTCTTCAAGATCCCAAAGGCCTGGAGAAAAGTTTTGATAATCCACTTCAAAAACAGCACGGAAAAATATTTATTAGCACTCAAAATGCACTTCAAATCCCAAATTATGCTTTACATCTTCAAAGAATTTGAGAAAACCCACACTAATCTACATGCCATGCCTCCTAGATGTGACTCCCACTGTTCAATAAAGAGTGAAAGGAGCAGAGGAGCCCAGGCTGGCTTTGTGTCTGGAATTCTGAGAGGTGTCTGCTCCCTAGCAGCCTCCACCAGAGCCCTCCAACATTGGCTTTTGGGAGGAATGTGTGTCTTTGCTGTAAAAAATCCAGTCTGCATAGCATGTAGTTTCATAGACACTAATTCTGCAACTGCTACTACATTTTGTTTAAGCATTGACTGCTTATAACGTGTCTTTTCTCTACTTCAATTTCCGATCACATTAACAAATGGAAATAAAAATTTGTATTCCCATCCCAGTATGGAAAAGAGGAAAACATTCCAGCAAGCTATTTAACATCATCCCATCAATTAGTGGGAAAGTACTTTGGACAGAAGTCTCCAGTTCTGTACTTATTCTGCTAAGCCTCTTCATGAACGGACTTAGTGGGCTTAGGCTTTGATTTGGTCCTCACTGGATGTCTCCTGACTTCAAAATCTAGAAATAGCTATTAAAAAACAAACAAGGAGCCCTAAGTATGCTTTTCAGAAAAACACCACTAAGTGTCATCTCTGCCACAGGACATTCACAAAGAATAAGAAGCTCTCAAAATGGGTTTATTTCTGACAAAGCAACATTGAGTCACAGCAGAGAGGAAACCAAATGGTATTTCAATATCATTTGCGCGGAGCGACTTTTATGAAATGTAATCTAAAATGTCAGAGTGTTTTCTTATGGCATAAACAGAGAGTGCTTGCCGGTATGAAATTGCTCCTGCTGTCCTCTTAAATATAGTAAAGGGGAAGTTCAAAAGCTGGTTTTGTAGCCTCTTGGATGATGATGCTAACATCCATAAAAGAAACATGGTGGGACAAAGGACTGCTGCCTCTTAAATCAGCAGTTCTCAGGCAGACCACCAACGATTCATAAGGCTTGATGTTATAAGCCTTATTTATAAAGCCTTATTTCATAAGGCTTTGACTGTTAGTCAGAACTGATCCGATCAGGATGTAAGGTGATAGATGAGAAGCTGTTAAACACAGGCACAGGAATGCCATCTCCGCGCCTCCTGCATCTTCCTGTCTGTCTATGACTTGTTACTTAAGAATTGGAAAAACATCTCTATTCCTCTCTGTCTTCTCAATCTGGAATTTAGCAATGGGTACTTCAAATGACACACGAGGTGTCTGACTTTCCTACTCTGCACACCCACAGCCTCAACAATTCTGGTCATGTCTTACTGCCAGTGAGGAAAGCTACCTCTGTGATTAGTTACACACACATAATGTAATGTCTAATTGCAAGTCCCAGTCCTCCTTTGCATCTCTGAGGGCTTGTTTTGACTTTTAAAGTCTCATAAATTATTTTCTCTGTAAGATCATCAGAGAGTGCAAGAGACAGAGGGAAAAGTCCCACTTAAGGTGACATAATTGCTTTCTCTGCAGATTGAGCTTTAATAGAGCCGCATAGTCTCAGGCATGATTTAAAACTTAGTGCAAGAGTTCCCACTGTCAACAAAGGAAGAGGAAAAATTATTATCTGTGAACTTCAATACTCTAAAATAAAGGAAGCTAAAAAAATAGCTGACAAGATGGTAAAAGCCTATTGGCCTTTTTGATGGATCACCAAGAATTTGCTGAAGCACCAATTGACAGACATTTAAAATCCAAAATCATCATATAAGTAAAGAACAA